GAGTGTGGAAAGGAATCAGCGGACCTACGAAAAAACTGGAACCAGGGATCGTCAGCTGCGCAGCAAGGTGTTGAGGTGCGTTAAAGCCAACCCCGGTCTTTCGATCCAAGATGTGGCCAGAAGGGACAACGACAACTTTCAAACGGTGCAGAAGGATACAACTCGTACAAAGCCAGTAAACATCCGAACCGGCACATGAAGCAGAATTCCGTGGCTAAAAAGCGTGCAAGGCTCTTGAACGACCGTGTTTAGACGAAACGCAAGGGCTGCACTTTGATCGATGACGAAACATACGTAAAGCTCGATTTTAAGCAGCTTCCTGGTCAAAAGTTTTACATCGCGACTGGAGTTCGTGTTTGCCGACAAGTTCGCGAAGAAGGCCATGATTTGGCGAGCGATTTGCAGTTCACTTTAAGTCTATAGAAATAATATTCATGAAAATCCATGAAGAAAGAGCTGTCGCACGGCACGTTTTTGAGTTAAAACGAAATTGTCCCCTGCTACAGGTTCTCTCGGGGCATCCCAGTGGTTCCGAGAGCGGCCAATGTGGTAAATGATTCACTTGAAGTCTATAGAAAGAATATTCATGAAAATCTATGAAGAAAGAGCTGTCGCACGGCATGTTTTTGAGTAAAAACCCAATTGCCCCCTACTACAGGTTCCCAAGGGGTAACCCGTGATTCCGAGAGCTGCCAATGTGGTCACTGATCCATTTGAAGTTTAATGAATGCCTATTCATGAAAAACCATGAAGAATGAGCTGTCGCACGGCATGTGTTTGTGTAAAAATGCAATTGTCTTCTGCTCCAGGTTCCCCCGGGGGCATACCGGAGGTCCCGAGAGAGGCCAATGTGATCACTAATCCATTTAAAGTCTATCAAAAGCCTATTCATGAAAAAGCTTGCTGAAAAAGCTGTCGCACGGCATATATTGGTGTAAAAACGCAATTGACCCCTGCTACAAAATCCCTCAGGGGTATCCCGTGAATCCAAGAGCGGCCAATGTGGTCAATGATTCATTTGAAGTTTATGGGAAGCCTATTCTTGAAAAACCATGAAGAATAAGCTGTCGCATGCCATGTTTTGGTGTAAAATTGCAATTGTCCCCTGCTCCAGGTTCCCCCGGGGGCATACTGGATGTTCCGAATGTTCCGAGAGTGGCCAATGTGGTGAATGATGCATTTAAAGTTTATCGAAAGTCTATTGACGAGAAACCATGAAGAAAGAGCTATCGCACGGCATGTTTTGAGTGATTGAATGATCTGCCCGCATTCAGAACCCTCCACCAGAATCGATTCCAGGGAAATGGCCATATCTCGGTTGATTATAGGTTGATTTCAGTTCTTGGCATATGATTCGCTTTAGAAATGGTTTTTCTTTCGTTGTATTTACTAAAAATATATATATTTAACCAGCATCATATATAAAATTTCACCAAAAATTTAGCAAGTTAGACAAGCCCTCCGGAAGCCCGGAATATCTCCGGTATCCGGTGACCAGGATTATTTTCGTGGCTACACCGTAGAACAATATTAGTTGTCCAGTCAAATGCTTTTGGAATATTTAAAATCGGATCATATTTGACGAAGTTGCAACACTCCAAAGTTGACCAAAAATTTGCCTATCCTAGTTATTTTGAGTAACCCCTGTACGTCAAAGTCGATTTTAAGCAGCTTCCCGGTCAAAAGTTTTACATCACGACTGGACGTGGGGATGTGCCGGGAAGATTCAAGTTTGTGTTTGCCGACAAGTTCGCGTAGAAGGCCATGATTTGGCAAGCGATTTGCAGTTGTGACCTGAAAACGGAACCATTCGTCACATCCTCGACGATGACATCCCAAATCTACATCGAAGAATGCCTGAAAAAGCGTGTATTGCCGTTCATCCGCAAGCATAGGGACAAAGTCATCTTTTGGCCCGATTTGGCCAGCTGCCACTATTCCTTTTTACATATTGTACTGTTAACAAATTCTATTGCTATTCTCATGGAAAGTTTTATAAGCTACAACTTTGCAGAAAATCGTTTTCCAGCCAAACGTCAAATTAAATAGTAATTAATTGTTTAAGAGATTGATAATCTTATGTCAAGATTAAGCAACTGTATGGTTGGCAACAATGTATTCTGCAGTGTGACATAGTAGCCATGATTTTGGTCCTCTATTCTACGCGCCATAAACACCAATGTTGCCTGCTGAACAATTGATTGAGCATAATCATAAAACATCAGTGACTTGAATTATTAATAATTTTTGTTCCTTACATTTGATTGAAAAGTAGTCTGAAACAAAGTTGTAGCTGAGAAAATTTTCAACAAGTAGAGTGAACTGGTGAAATTTGAGATAGATATGAACCGAAATTATGGTTTCTCCATAGTAATTCCCATATAAACTTCAAATGGTTTGTGCCAAGTCAGTTTCTCACTAAATGAGTTCAAATTTTGGGAGGCTAATCAGGGCCCAATTTGGAACCGTTTTAGCACTGTGGAGCGAAAATTTCAAATTTTGCATCAGTCTAATGTGGCAGCAAATGCGTTGTAATTCGTTCGAAAACAAGATTCATGGAGTAGGATATCTTATTTAAGTTTCTGCATGAAATGAAGGTTTATTCAAATAATTTAATTGACTTTTATTATGTCAAGATAGTGGTAGACAATGGTAACAAATGCTAGCAAATGCTATCAAAATCAGAACAGAATCCGTAAATCTTAGTAGCTACGCAGTAATTGAGCGTTTTTCAACATGGGCGGGGCATAGCTGCCTATAATTAATGCACAGCTGACAGGGAGTACCGCTAGGTGGATTATTCCACATTGCTAATCGTAGCATTATTCTCCTGCAATTGGCCAAGTGCCCTTTTTTGTGGTGCACAATCCGTCTTTTCCAACTTCTGCCACTTTCTCCTAGCTTTGCTCTACATCCTGCGCACTTGAAACTCAAGTACTTCCTAGCATAATCCCTTCACAGCAGGACCCGAAAAACACCACCACCGGGGGAAACAAACCACCCAGTAATCCTTACCGCACAAATCCTCAATGGACCTCGACTCGGGTGAGAATGCATATAGCAAAGCAAAGCAACAGAGAAACATCATTAGGACAAAGTAGCGCTGGCGCCAAAACGGTTTCCTCGGTAGACCTGCTCCAGACAGAGCAGCTTTGTTGCACTTAACCTCACCACCACCACCGGTAGACAAAGGGCTGAGACGATTTCCTACAGAAAAGGATTATCACCCAAGGACAAAGGGTGAAAAAGGATTGCAAAATGCAAAAAAATGCAAACCGAGTCGAACAAATCCATGTGAAGGCTACTTAGAAAATTTGAACTCTGAAATCAATGATCGCCGCTAGGCCGATTTCCAAAATCACCCGCTATGAAATTGGGTGCTAAACACCCAATCAAAGTCATGTTCGCTCGCTTATCAGCAAATTCGACGAATGGCTTACGACACGTACGTCTGCTGATGGCCTGGCACCACTACTACTGATTCGGGTACTGAGATAAACCCCGTCAAAGGCCAAACGAATAAAGAACAACGAAACAATGATCCCTATCGGACTCAATTTGTTTGTAGTCGACGTATATCGGCGGCTCTTGGCGGGCCGGGCTAATCTTAAAAATGCGTTAAATATCCAGCAATTAGAGCTCTTTCTTTGTTGGTCACGCTGCCCGGGTCCATTTCCACAATCTCATCAGCATATTTCGTCCATTAGGGCAGTTCTACATAAAAACGGAGCCTCCACCCTCCGCCGATTCGAGCGATCGAAACACGGGAAAAAGCCTATATTCACAAAGTGAAGAACTAGTTCTTAGTTCGCCTTTTTCATCGCGCAAAAGAAAGTCTCGTTGATTTTTTTTTTTTTATTTTTGGTTTTGTGCGAGGGAGGGTTGACCTTCATTCACTTTACCACCACCACCCTCACCACCGTTTCTGCGATATCGAGGCAGGAGCTAGAAGAGGTGATTCCAATTTCGGTAAAACAGTACAATTTACAAAACCCAATTTCCATCGGTAACGGTCTGTTACCTTTGTGCCCGAAGGGCCGTGGGGAATTATAGAGTGCTTACATCGAATTGGAATTTCAGTTAACCCATTTCACCGAAAACGGTAATTTTACATGAAATTATTATAAACCGGCTATTGCGATAAAGCAAACAGATTCTTAATCCAATAATTTTCTATTCAGAGAATCGTTCAACCAGCATCAAATGTATGGAAATCAATCTCCTCGTAACTTTTACAACGTCCATGTTCAGCAGCAGTAACAATTTTATCGACAAATTTCGTGGCATTTTTAATGATTCGATTCCTGAAACCGATCAACCATCAACTTCTCAAAAGAAAGCCACAAATCTATAATCGGCCAACCAAGCTAAGTGACAATTGACCGTTTCAGAAGCTTTCCTCCGTAACACACTTTCCTTCGTCAAAAGAAGACCCTGATTATTTTATGGCTCCTCTGCGCAGCCAGCGCTCGCAGTGGTCATGTTCTATGTTTCCTACAACCACAGCAGGAACACAAAAAAAAAAACAAACAGAAAACATTTTATGCTTTCTTTCGCCCATCTCCCTTTCAATAGCGTCCAAAGTCGCCATCAGCTCTATCGACTAATTAATCAATATGTCCGACCAACTACATCACCAACCGTGATCCAGGTGCCAAAAGAGAGCGTTGTTGTTGTTGTTGTCATTCGAAACTCTCCGCGAGCTCTGATCGATTGTTTATTGCTCATATACCATACCTGGTGCCCTGAGGAGAACGAGGTGCTCAAATTGAAATCAGGGGGCCATAAAAATTAACCGAGCCTATTTATGGGCTTCCAAGAAACTACAAATATGCGCTGCTCTTTGAGATTCGTCTCCGTGTTGGGTGGATTATTTCCAGCCCGCTCAAAATAAACAGAGCGATTGTTATCGTATATGCCTTTTGTTGCGATGCTTATCCGTAGAAATTGCTCCCGACTTTGACTAATCATAACCTCAATCTTTTCGCTTTCGTCCACAGCCTCCCGGATGTCACCGCATATGGCTCCACAAGTGTGCCGGCCGCACTTTCCCAGCCCGCTGTCCTGGTTCAACGAGTCCACGAAGTCTTTCGGAGCCGGTGGTAGCTGGAGTAGCCCCTTCAGCTGTCCCCAGGACCCGCAAGACACCAAGCAAAGCCAGCTGCAGAGCAGCCAATCTGCAGCCGGTCAGCATTTGTTCTCATTCCCGCCAACTCCACCGAAGGACTCCACGCCGGACTCCGTACAAACTACACCGACCGAGTACCAAACCACCCTGAACAGTTTTATGCACCAGAGCCAAACGTCGGCGTCCAGTGGGTTGAACGCCGGTTCCAGCTCGAACAACAATAACAACAACAACTCCAGCCTATCGTCGCAAGCGGATAACTGTGGCATCGATGTGAAACCCTGCCTAACCGGAGGATCGCTCGGTGACCGAACCGGTGCGTCCGAGGTAGAACAGAACCAGCCAAAACATCGGGAAGGTACGAACAGCAACAGCAATAACAACAACAATAGTTCCGCGTCCAGTGCCAATAGTCATGGCGGAAGTGGCAGCGGTAGTAGTGCCACCAGTGGAGCGTACCAAAATTCCGCCAACTCGTTCGGCATGTTCGATCAGACGCACGGCGGCAGCGGGTACGATCACACCGGGGGCTACGGGTTCCACCAAAGTGGCCACGGTATCGGAGGGGGCGGCGTCGGCGGTGGTGGTGGCGGTGGGGGTCTCGCTGGCAATGGGGGATCCTACCAGCAGAGCTCCCGACCACCGCTCATGAACAGCTCCCACATGAAGGCGCAACGGGCCAAAGCGAAATCCAGTGCCGGTAAGATATGGACACGGTGTGGGGTATATTTTTGTTTTGTTTTGTTTTTTGTTCGTTGTAGATCTTAAGTTGGGTGCTTCTTAGGTTATATGTTTTTTTTTTCACGTGTAAATCAATCATTTTCGGGAACGCCGCAAGTTCTGGTGAGCATCATCCGTTGTCAATTGCAATAGACACTAACGAAAATTTCCAACTGTTTAATTTGAAAACAGATGGGATTTGTGTTTTCTCATTTACAAGGCAGATTATTGAAAATTCATTCAAATGCCAGAAAGTATAAATCTAGAATGTCATGAAAAAAATTGTTACAATCAATAACAGCTACAGGGGAAGTGCACAAGTATTGGCCATAGGTTCCTATTTTGGCCACACCTCAGAAAGCCGATTAAATTACAATCAGCAATAATGCTTTTGAAACAGAGCAGGTTCACCCTTTTGAAATGTTGATGAAGATGAGCCTGTGGATCATTCAAGAGCTAAAACTAAAGCCCTACAGTAAAAGTTGTTCTAACCGAACCGTCAAAATGCCCAATTTTGCTCGATTGGAACAGCTTTTTTCAGTTTTGTGGTGAGAGTCATCCATACTTCAATTAGAGGGCTTTAGCTAATATTATCCCAGCTTATAGACGAGTGCACGGGTGAACTTTTGTTCATCTACTGAAAAAAAACAGCAGGCCCTGTGCACTACTGCCATCTACTGACCAATGCACGGAATGAACTCACGAAAAAAATTGACTTTTGAGCGGTGCCGTGTTTACTAAAAATGAACACATGATGCAATGCTCACGTAACTTTAGAAAAGGTCCTATCAACTTTTACAAACAACTTGTTAGGCCCTTTTCCCGCGAACCGAAGAACACCCACGCAAACCAAACCACTATCGGGAAGGGGAGAACTCACCCTGTTGGTTTGCATGGGCGTACTTCGGTTCGCGGGATAAATGCCTAACAAGTTTTGTGTACATAAGTTGACAGGCCATTTTCAAATGTTACGCGAGTATTATTCATGTGTCCATTTTAAGTAAACACGGCACCGCTCAAACTTCAAATTTGTTCATGCAGTTCATTGTCAACAGGATGCTGCACGCTGACGTCACGAATGAACACGATGAACCCGCATTCATCAGTTTGACATCCAGTGGTGGTTTGTTTACCTCTGATTGTTAGTCGATTCAAGTCGATTAGAGGTTTTAAATAAAAAGAATTAAAAGATATGATATCCGACTATGTTCGTTTGAAAAATATTCCTCTCCAAAAAATCTGTAAAAAAACATTTAATAAAAATTTTCAATTTTTTTCTTAATCTTTGCAAACAAACCACTGCCAGATGTCAAAAAAGTGAGGTTAACCTGACGGTGCAGCTCCCTATTGTCCATAACATGCTGTCCCCGCTATTTCAAAACTACTCAAATTTAGGTAGAATCCACCTAGATCGGTCATAACTGAACCTACCCAAAAATGGATAAACTGTGTTGGGAGTGACAAGTTTACAAATGAACCACGTCGATCGGATTCATGTTTATATTGTTCATTTGTCAACTTGTCACTCCCAACACAGTTTATCCATTTTTGGTCCAATTTAGTTTTGAAATAGCGTGTGGTCTGTTCTGAACTACTTTGCGTTATAGTCGCTATATTTAAAGTCTGGCGGATAGAATCTCGGGAACCAATTGTGCTGTCAAATAGCGGAACCAATCGAGCATATCACGACCAACAACAGAAAAGACCACATCAGCTTTTGCGAACAGAACTTCGGAAATCCTTTTCTCGTGACTCAAGGCTCGCCTACGCAAACTAACACCATCATCGGGTTAAAGAAAGTTTCCCCTATCCGATGATCCTGTTAGTTTGTTGACAAGTTGACAAATGAACCACGTCGATTGGATTCATGTAAGGTTGCAAATACTCATTTCAGCTAAAATGACATGTTTTACTTGTAACTTACAAGAAGAGGTTACAACGTATGCGCTTGAAACATAAAACCTGTAAATTTTGCTTTCTATGAGTCACAATCAGTGATTTGCTGATCGCTGAGTGAGTGAGTGAGTGTGTGAAAAATCGCTGATTGTGACTCTCATGAAGTGAAATAAACAGGTTTAATATGCCAAACACATTCTTTGCAACCTCTTCTTGTATCTTACCAATTCAAAATATGATCATAGCATCTAATTATTTCATAATTAAAAAAAAAACATTGTTCTAGCTGAAATGAGTATTTGCAACCTTGGATTCATGTTTATGTTGTTCATTTGTCAACTTGTCACTCCCAACACAGTTTACCCATTTTTAGGTAGGTTCAGTTTTGACTATCCGCCAGACTATAAATATAGCGACTATACTTCGCGACGGATGATGACAGATAAATACGGATTGCACTGTAAAAAATACACCTCAAGCATATTATTGAAAAAATCAATAATTATTTGAGTGAAAATACTCTTATAAATGTTACCTACAACGCTAAAAAAATGATTGATTTACACGGTATCACCTAACCAAATAATTTATAAAAATGTGCCGTCAAATCCTAGTCCTACGCTTTTGTTGTCTTTCTTTTCGATTACCTTCAATGTTTTCTTTTCCTATGGATGTTTCTTTTATTGATATTGTTTCTATAATTTTCGAAAGCACCAACGATGTAAAAATATTATCGATATATTTTGAGTGATGCTTTTGTTCGTTTTCCTCATTTTACGCACAACGTGTCTATATCTGTGTTGAAGCAACAATTGTAACTAAACACCATCACCGAGATCACCTCTCTGAGCACTGTTTCCGCTTAGCTTTGTCCAACTTATCGATGTTGTTTCACCGCTCTCTAAACCTAGGTTGATGTTCACTAATCGTAAAATGGGAAAACACTGTCATTTCCAGCTCAAAGCCGGGTAATTTCTCCGAAATAATCTCCTTTCTGTAGAATGATCGTTCGGTGGAAAGACCATTCGATTAAATAACCAATAAGCCCGCTTAGCTCAAAAGGCCTCCCTTAGCTCTGTCGGTAAAGGCGCAGCTACAAAGTAAGACCATGCTGGAGGTGGCTGGGTTCAATTCCCGGTTCAGTCTAGAAAATTTTCGGGATGGAATAATGCGATAAACAGTAAGCTTTAAATACGAAGAAGAATAAGAAGAAGAAGTATCCCGCTTATTCGCAATTTTGTTTCCTGTATAGAACTGACATACGGCTTATATAAGATCTATAAGATTTACGTTACGTTCCGTTACGTTTCGCCAAAATGAGGGCTTCTTGGTTACTTGATGTATCAAAGTACAATATCGAGTCATGCTTTTGTCAAAACTGGTTCCAACCATCAGTCTCATTCGATTATAAATTACACAATGTTTGCCAAACTGGATTGAACATTTGGATATTTAATAGACTGGAAAAATATCAAGCTTTATAACAAGTTTCGGATACCTGCCCTGAAGCGAACCGATGCCACTTTCAACCGATATTTGGCCCTGAAGTCGGTGATAAAATACATGTAGTTTCAGAGAACTTTTCATTATCCGACCTTAGCTTTGCTGAACTCCGGAAAAGACCACACAGTGTGAAAATGATGCGTAAATTTCTGTTACGCACTTACGTGAACCACAAATGAGCGTTGCACTGCAGATCATGTAAGTTTAGATGGCTGGGACAAATAGAAAACATGGGTAACTCGGTTATTACATACAACCTGTCTTGTCGGTAGATAGGGTACATGTTCCAATTATGAGCAGTTCCACGCCAACTGACGAATCGATTTTTCGTACAATTGTTCAATTAATGAAGTCATTAGGTCTGTTCCCGTACTTGCTTTTCTGTAAGATTATGTACAGAAAAAAACAAAAGTATGTTCCTGTACTTACTGCCAGAGTTGCGACATATCACAATCACGATCGTCAAAAAGCTGATGGTAGTAACGCTTTGTAAATTCCTATCAATGTGCTCGTCGAAGCTCTACCCATGACCATCCATCAAGTTGACGAAAGAAGTAAAAAGCAACTGGTGAATGTCGTCTTCGGTTGTGATCCATCACCGATCTGGTCATTTCCGACAATCACGACACTCATCTGTGCTCGTTTTGGAGCAGTTGCTGCTTTGCTTGCTTATGTGAGTGTGTTGGTGAGTGTGCCCAACAGCTTCCGTTTAATGTTGCCTACTTTGTTTGTAACTCACACAGTCGCGCCTACCGAGACGAACTTGGAATGCGTAGGCATTGTTTTCATTTCCTTCTGTCGTTTCGCTTTTTCTCATGATCGTGCTCCAGAAGTCTTCACTGTTTTCGTTGTGCTTTTCATCATCAGCAGCGAGTGTAACGTTTTGCTTGTGAGCAGCGACCATTGCTGGTGATTGTTGTTTGCCATGGCTCTACCTCTCACTGCGTGACAAAACGTTCTGTCAGCGATAGTCGGTTGATGCGAAGACGAGCGTCACGTGAGTGTCATGATATTTTGCATCACTGCTTGTTGCACCATAGTATTTTCTTACAGAAACTTATAGCAAAAGCAAAAAACAAGATACAGGAACAGACCTATTTTGACTAACGTCTGATTTTTCAAAATGGTGCATTAGATATTTTTCAATAAATCATGCACGAAAACAGCTCATCTAATCGAAATGACGTCTGATACAAATTGAAGGAAACTGGATTGTCTTTTCAAAAATAAAATACTCACTGAAAAAATATAAAAAAATTTCGTCAAAATGAAAAAAAAAAATACTGTTATTTTAATATAAAAAGTGAGCATTTATATTTATACGCCTTTTTAATAGAAGCTAAGCGATCGATTCAACCTCTGGTGATGAATAGGAGAATGTCAAAAAGAGTGTTGTGAGTAGAAATACTCAGAGGGAGAGATGGGCGGAGTAATCAAAATATAATTCGGCAGCAGGGATTTGTACCTACATTATCTTGCAACCCTTGCTTGAAGCTAGCAATTCACATGACTTGTAATTTTGATTCGATTTACGTGCAATATAATAATTGATTGCATCGCAAGATTTTGCACATTTCATTG